GAAAATATCTACAAATCTCTGAGCTTTAAAAGTGAACACTTTAGAGATGGTTGAACTGTAAAAAAACGTAGACATATATTTGATTGCTGGAGCAGTGAAGCGACTGAACAAGCATTATAGCTCTCAAACGGTGAATCTGAGCAATCAAACTTAATTTTCTGGCTGCTTTACTGGCCTAAAACCTACATGAACCGTGTCGATGTGGTTCAGATGCGCAGACTGGGATTGAAGAGACGCTGAGCTTTCAGATGGGAGGGTGAGAAGTAGCAGGGTAGCACACTGCAAGAAATTGAAATTTAAGTGTTTTTTTTCTTAGTAAAAAAGGTTTTTTTTATTGCGTAGGTAAGTGAGACACTTTGCCAATGGAACAAGACAATTTAAAATAAGACAATAAACATTTGCATTGTCTTATTCCAAGCATATTATCTAAATATCTTATTATAAGAGTAAAAATTGTCATTCTGTTGGCAAATCATCTTATTTTCCAGCTCAAATTAAGGGTAAATACGTTTTACTGAAGACATTTTTACTTATTTCTAGATCGTTTTCGTAGTGCAGATCAAAGACAAACAACTTTGAGAAATCTGTCTGGATGTTGCTCTGTCATGTTCAAGCTTGCAAATTATTTTATGCTGTAAATACTTGTAAGAATTATTCCAGATTAAATTAAGTTATTTCTTCTTCCCCGACTTTAAACAACAGGTAGGAAAAACACGCAGCTCTCTCAATAAAGCAGAGAGCATGAGAGGAACTTTGTGTTTCCTCTTTGCTCCAGCAGGCAGAAGACGGACAGCAGACTTATTGGATTTGGTCGTACACTCGCTCTCACTTCCAGTACATTTGTTTCATGCGAGATCCGTTCCTACTAGAGGTTGAGGCTGAAGTATTGATGCTCTGTATGGATCGCAGCGTGCAGCTGTGGTGCGTTTGATGTATTTCACTGTATCTGTCAGCCTCATCAAGCGGCCCTCTCTGCAGCCTCCCATCGATCCCTTCCATCACGCCGTCATTAAGCGGCGGATGACATAATTGCCTTTTGTAGCCGCCGCGGTGCTGCAGGTCGGTGCGGACTGAGCGTGCTCTAATTCTGAGCCTGATAATTAAACAGGCTTTTCATCCGGTTGGTCCTGTTTCTCAGGTGGACGTGCTGCGACCCGGTCCATCCCAGCGTTAGACTGTAGAAATCATTCACTCCTAAATATGCAATGATTCAGGGATCAAAACGCATCTGGACTTTATTTGCATAGCTCAGGCCCGCCATGACTCCTCTTCTAGTTGCTGCCCACGAGGAAGTTCACTCTGATCCAGCTCTGCGCTCATTAAAATGCATCGCCTCCCAATTATTTCCATCAATATAGGGATACCTGGGCTGACTAAAACTTTGAAACTGAGTAAAAAACAGCAGATCCTAAAAAAACAAACAACATGAAGAGCAGAACATAAATTATAGGATTATCAGGAGATCCTTGAAGCGGTTTCCTTCATGCAAAACAAATAGAAGACAAAAATAGAGCAATAAGAAAGAAAAAACACTGTTCAGTTTTAGAAATTTGAATTTAAGAAGATATATTTTAGTAAAGTTTGTTGCATCCGTTTTTGGTTCAAACCTCTAAATTCAAAAAGTTAAATTAAAGACTAAAGGATTATGCTTTCAAAGAGAAACGTTTGAGGCTCATTTGCCTAATTTTCAATATTCACATGACCTGAAATAATCTTGTTAGTCTGGTTTCATCATCTGAGGAATCGTGTAACTGATGTTTCCAGTGGAGATCAGACAGAAATTTAAAAGGTTCAGAGGTGCTTTTACTAAAATATGCCACAAGGAAATCTGGATTCAGAGTGGGAGAGAGAAAAAAAGAAGGAAAGAGAAAATTAGGAACGACAGAAAACACAGAAAATGGAAGGAAAATAATTAATATGTAGAAAGATGGCAGACGGATCACAGAAGGAATTAAAAGACTGATTGATTGAAAAAAAATGATAGAAAAAATGACAGAATGATGAAAAGAAAGACTACAGATGAAACATAACCGAGAGAAAGACTAAGAGGGACAGAATAAAGAAAGACGACAGTTGGAAAAATAGACTAACGGAAGAAAAGACAAAAGAACGGCTAATGGAAGGAAGATGGACTGAAAAAAAGAGCGATGGAGGAAAAACAAGAGAAACTGACAGAATAGAGACTGATGGTAAAAATGATAGAATGAACAGAATGATAAAGACAAGACGACATGAAGACGGCTCTAAGATGCCAAAAGAAAACCCAAAAAGATGTTTTTAAAAACACACTAAAGTGATAAGTCTGAAAAAGGTGAATTTGAACCACAGATCCTGCTTCATACCTGAGAATCCTGAAGAAGAATGTCAGACCATCAGTTGATATTTAAACAGCAACATCTAGAAAAAAAGGCCTAATCAAAGTAGGAACTTAGAGCATCAGAGAACATGATTTGCTTTTTTGATTTAATCAGGACACTGAGTAGAGCTTTAACAATACATCCATTAAATGATTAACCAGCCAATTAGAAGGATAATTATGATGTTATGAAGATAGTGATGTTACATTATTATCTTTAAGATGCACCTTTTTTTTTTAATTCAGAAGCATGCGATTATATTTTATTTATTTCTTTTTATTTATTTATTCATTTGACAGGGACAATGCTCTAGAATAAGCCAAAAGGCTATTTTTCATCTGTTTTCCCAGCATAGATCTTAAAATTCTCTTCCTAAAAACACAACGGTAAGAATTTTACAATGAAAAATACAAATATAAAAAGAAATAAAAACAACTATACCGCTTCAAAACTTCTTTAAAATACAGAATCAAGTTCGCTCGACTATGGATTTTAGATTAATAAAAGAGAATAAAATATTCCAATAAAATAACATGGTGAACAAGTTATTACCATTGATATTATTAATATTAGAATTAAAATAATGCTGTTTGTTTGTAATGAAATGTAGATAAACAGATTCTATTGCACCATATCAATCGCATACTTTGCGATCATATCATGACAGACATTTATTGTTAAAATCCATCCATCCATCCATTTTTCATTACGCTTTTCCTAAGGGGGTCATGAGGGGTGCTGGTGCCTATCTCCAGCTGTCTACAGGCGAGAGGCGGGGTAAACCCTGGACAGATCGCCAATCCATTGCAGGGCAACACAGAGACAAACAGGGCAAACAACCATTCACGAACACCTAAGGAGAATTTAGAGAAGCCAATTAACCTAACAGACATGATCTAAACATATCAGTTTTATGTATTTTCATATTTAAAATGGTATGGAAGTCATATTTAATGTATTCTTTATCAGACCATATTGTCTCAAAAGTTAGAAAAGTCCTGTCCTAAAATCTGTGGTTTTTTTCATTATCTTATGCAGGCCAGTTAGTTATACGTCAGCTTGTACACCTAAATTCAGCCAATCTTATATCAAAGGTCATCTGTCAATCAAATTTTTTCAGTCATAGTATCTTGATTCATATGTTGCAGCTAATGTACGCAACGGTTGAAATAAGAATCCTTTCCTTTCCCACTGAGTTCCGTCCCAGTGTTCACGGGGATGGACGTCTGTGTCTTCAGCAGGCGTAGAGCTAACAGAACTGGCAGCGTTGTGAGGAAAGGGCTCAAACATGTACGGCTGGAAGCCTTCTACACCAAACCAAGCTTCTGCCGCCCTGGCGTCCTCTTCCACAACATCTTCATCACGCTTTCCTCCTCTAAATAAAAAATGTATGATGGAGACTCATCCACGACTTTCAACACTAAACTCTCCTCCTCTGTCATGTTTCCTCTGTCCATAGCGTTCCTTGACAGTGTCGTTTCTAAGTCACCAATTTAGTGCTACTTGGTCCCAATGGAAATTCCCATTGGGAACCTACTAGCACTAAGTTGCTAACTGATTAGCAAGATACTTCCGACAAACCGGCCACAACCAAACTTTCTTTCGAACCTTCCGCCCCAACAATCCCGCCCCCTTGATAAACGACCAATCACATTCACTTTATTCACTGGTGTAAAGTCGGGCACCACTTGGGAGAATTTGGAAATGCAACGGTTGGAACAGCCGCTTCCTACGACTTTAAGGGTTTGAATGACACTCAATGATGCAATATCACAGTGTTGACAAACATTCAGGCCTCCTGTCTCCTAAAACAAACAAATCAGGAACTGATCATTTTTCTTTAGGTGCAAATCAGTAATAATTGGATATTCTAAATGATTTAAGTTAGTTTCTTGCACTTATTTTGAGACATTTCAACATCTGAACTGTTTTCTTTTGTCCACTTTTAATCAGAAAACAAAATGAGATTCCTGCACTTCATTTCATATTTTATCACACTGAAGCTCTCCGAGTCTGGCTGTCCTCTGACGGAGCGCTAATCTGTCGCACTGATCTTTTCATTTAAAGACGAAACACACCAAAAGGAACAGATGTCACCCTAGGAAGATCAAACCGCAGCGCTGATTGATTGTTACAGAGCCGCAGAGCGCCGAGGATCAGGAAATCAAGCTGAAAAGCATCTTAAGGAGTCGACAGAAGAAAAGTTATCTTGTTTTTTTCTTTTGTTTCTGCTCAGTTCAAATTAACCAGATTTGGAGTCTAAAAACTACTGACATAAATCCTTTCCTTTTTTAAATGAAGGCAGCTTGTTATCTTCATGTGTAGTTTTTTTCCCCCCTCCCTCACTGAAAGGCAACATGAGTCACATCAGCAGTTATTGGATCTCCTGGAAGCTGGGCTCTTTGTGTCCATCAGCGGTCTTGTTAGTGTCTCTGAAGACACTAAGACCCCCTCAGATGAGGCCGTTAGGTGATCTAAGAGACACATTTAATGAATAAAAAATAACCTTAAAGTAAATGTGCTTGGATTAGTGCTTAACAGCAGAACGTGATGCTGAATATAGAATAAAAGCTTCGACCTCAACGCTAATCAACCCACCAGAGCTTACTGTCTATTAAGGACTGTCGTCTTCTCCTGTTTCAGCCTCTGGATTACGAGAAGAAGCGGCAGTACAGCCTCCGGATCCAGGTGGAAAACGTCCACATCAACCCTCGCTTCTACTCCATGGGTCCCTTCAGGGACGAAGCCAGCGTGAAGATCGTGGTGGAGGACGTGGACGAGCCGCCGGTGTTCGAGCGGCCCACCTACATCATGGAGGTCAGGGAGGACGCGGCGAGGAACACCATCATCGGCTCGGTCAGCGCGTCGGATCCCGACGACAAACACAGCCTAGTCAGGTAAAGTCTTAAGGTGCAAATAGCTGATCTATTGAATATGTCTGCAGAGATCAGACTGTGAACATAAAGGCAGGAAAAAACACAGAGATCGATGGAAACATCTAGACGCTTGGAAAAGGAATGCAATTTGTTGTGTATCATATTTTTCTCACATCAAATAAAACACCTAATGAAAGCCCTTTTGGGAAACTCCAACTCCCATTGTCATTGTGACACAGCACACACAAGTGAACACTGCGCACAATGAAATTGCATTTATGCCTCACCCGTGCAAGGGGGCAGCCCTCAAATGGCGCCCCAAGGGAGCAGTGTGGCGGGACGGTACCATGCTCAGGGTACCTCAGTCATGGAGGAGGATGGGGGAGAGCGCTGGTTAATTACCACCAACCTGGCGGGTCGGGAGTCGAACCAGTAACCTTTGGGATCCAAGTCTGACACCCTAACCGCTCACCCACCCGACTAATGATGTATCATGGGGCTCTGGGGTATGATACATCATGATAAAGGAAAATGGTCAACTTTTTTCACCACCAGAATGAAATCAGACTCCTTCCAGTTCTGCAAAATACTAAGTTAAATTCCTTCAAGTTATAGCGGAGGATTTTGGAGATTTTTTGAAAAGATCCGCCCTCTCCACTTTAAATAAATACAATAAAATGCACGTGCAAAAGCCTGTACCCTCTCCCAAGAAGGAACGCCTATTAAACACGTGCGAGAGCGTGCACAAGCTTATTTCTCCTGGTGCACGCTCTGTTTAAAAGTTACTGTTTGCATCACTCATCCAAGCTTACTTTCCAAAAGAAGATTTGCAATTTTTCCACTATCTGAGACTCACCAAGGGTAGGTGCAAATGAGGATGAGAACGTAGAATTTCATTACGTAAACACATCACCAGAATGATTGACGCTTATTTTGATGAAAATAAGTTTAACTTTTTTTTGTTATCCTGGAAATTCATTTAAATGAACATTTTTCCAACATGTGTAGAAAGAAAACTGAAATCAACTGTGAAAACACTTCAAGTGATTTCAATCCTCCTTTGATCTAACTGAACACTTCAAACTGATCCCGTACTTTCCCAGATTTTGCAGAAACTCTTGTGCAGATTATCTATAAAGGTCATCCTCCTTGAAAAAAAAGTATTGCTGGTTTGAAGCTGGATTTAATCCCTGGAAGTGAAACCGGTCGGCTTTGCTGTGAAGAATCGCACCTTACCTGCTTCCTCCTTTGAGCTGCAGAAAAATCAACTACTTAACTTTTGATATAATTCCATAAACTAAGGCTACTTTTTCCACTAAATGAAGAAAAGGGAACTAAAATGTTATTTAAAATAAACTTGCTGGAGGTTTCATGTCTGTTGTCACTGAATATAAACTAAGTCATATTTATTTTAAATGTAAGGAAAAGACAAAAGGTCTGTGAATTATGATAAATATTTATTAGATCACTAAAAGCAGCCGTGTAAGCCGGTTTAGTTACTGCATTAGAAGCAGGTCCAGGATTCCCTCAGTTCATGCAGATCCATAATTATCAGAGTGACTCCAATAAAAGGCATCGGTGGCAGCAAGGTGTGAGGCGGCACCTCCTCTCCGTCGCAGCCTTTTTCATTTTTACGACGCACTGAGGGAGTTGGCTCTCAAGGTTGAAGTTCCAGCGCTTTACTGCATGTGTCAAATACGATATCATTCTCTTTTATCGCCCGTCATCAGCGACGGAGCTTCCCGGTGGCATTTAACGCCGCGCCGTGGAGGAGGGGTGGGAAGCCTGGAGGCTCCCTGGGATCAGGAAGTTTCTAGATTTATTTCCTGGCAGTGACACACGCAGACACCTGCACACCTTAACACCAACGCTGAAGATGAGGGGGCACGTCTTTAACACGTTAGAAGGAGCTGAACTGCAGTTTGTTGCTGAGGTGTTAAAAATTCAGTCGTCGTCGTTTGACTGTGATGGAAACTGATTAATTGCTCAGGCCTTTAAAATATGTTTGGAGGACACTGTCCTCGTTAAAAGTTTAGGCTTTGGTTCTGTGCGTGTTCCAGCCGGATCGACTGAGATGTGACAGAACTCTTTAAATAAGGAGAATTTTACCATTAAAATCTGCTGTTGGCAAATAAAACCTGTATATGAGGCTGAGTTAAAGATGACCTACCTGAACATGCTACACATTGCTACAACAAGTTGATTAAACATAAACTGGTGATTTATCTCTGATTCTACTCTGTGTCTGAGGCTTGGTGAGCAGCTGGAGGAATCTGCATAGAATGTTAGTTTTGGTATAACCAGGATCTTTCGATCTTTGCTTTTGGAGATGATGGCTGTGTCAGAATGTACGCTCTACTCTCTGTATATAGCGCACTATATAGGGGTTACGCCATTTTAAATGAGTGTCCGAACCTTTAGTGGGTGAAAAAGTAGTGAACTCGAAATTTATGATTATCCATAGTCACTAGACGAGCAGCTATGTTCCAGAATGCTATGTGAGGAGAGCTCTCCAAAAGATGGTGCAGGCTCCGTGTGGTGGAGATGGAGTTACATGACCAACGGGGAGTGAAAAGTAGTGATCTTCTATCAGAACAGTACAGGTGCTGGTCATAAAATTAGAATATCATGAAAAAGTAGATTGATTTCAGTAATTCCATTTAAAAAGTGAAACTTGTATATTATATTCATACATTACATACAAACTCATATATTTCAGATGTTTATTTTGTTTAATTTTGATGATTACAAATGACAACAAATGAAAATCCTAAATTCATCATATCAGAAAATTAGAATATTGTGAAAAGGTTCAAAATTGATGGCCCCTGGTGCCACACTCTAATCAGCTAATTAACTCAAACCACCTGCAAAAGCCTTTAAATGGTCTTTCAGTCTAGTTCTATAGGCTACACAATCATGGGGAAGACTGCTGACTTGACAGTTGTCCAAAAGACGACCATCGACACCTTGCACAAGGAGGGCAAGACACAAAAGGTCATCGCTAAAGAGGCTGGCTGTTCACAGAGCTCAGTGTCCAAGCACATTAATAGAGAGGCGAAGGGAAGGAAAAGATGTGGTCGAAAAAAGTGTACAAGCAAGAGAGATAACCGCACCCTGGAGAGGATTGTGAAACAAAACCCATTCAAAAATGTGGGGGAGATTCACAAAGAGTGGACTGCAGCTGGAGTGAGTGCTTCAAGAACCACCACACACAGACGTATGAAAGACATGGGTTTCTGCTGTCGCATTCCTTGTGTCAAGCCACTCTTGAACCACAGACAGCGTCAGAAGCGTCTTGTCTGGGCTAAAGAGAAACAGGACCAAAGTTATGTTCTCTGATGAAAGTAAATTTTGCATTTCCTTTGGAAATCAAGGTCCCAGAGTCTGGAGGAAAAGAAGAGAGGCACTTCATCCACGTTGCTTGAAGTCCAGTGTAAAGTTTCCACAGTCAGTGATGGTTTGGGGTGCCATGTCATCTGCTGGTGTTGGTCCATTGTGTTTTCTGAGGTCCAGGGTCAACGCAGCCACATACCAGGAAGTTTTAGAGCACTTCATGCTTCCTGCAGCTGACCAACTTTTTGGAGATGCAGATTTCATTTTCCAACAGGACTTGGCACCTGCACACAGTGCCAAAGCTACCAGTACCTGGTTGAAGGACCATGGTATCCCTGTTCTTAATTGGCCAGCAAACTCTCCTGACCTTAACCCCATAGAAAATCTATGGGGTATTGTGAAGAAGAAGATGCAATACACCAGACCCAACAATTCAGAAGAGCTAAAAGCCACTATTAGAGCAACCTGGGCTATCATAACACCTGAGCAGTGCCACAGACTGATCGACTCCATGCCACGCCGCATTGCTGCAGTAATACAGGCCAAAGGAGGCCCAACTAAATACTGAGTGCTGTACATGCTCATACTTTTCATGTTCATACTTTTCAGTTGGCCAACATTTCTATAAATCCTTTGTTTTTATTGGTCTTCAGTAATATTCTAATTTTCTGATATGATGAATTTGAGATTTTCATTTGTTGTCATTTGTAATCATCAAAATTAAACAAAATAAACATCTGAAATATATGAGTTTGTATGTAATGTATGAATATAATATACAAGTTTCACTTTTTAAATGGAATTACTGAAATCAATCTACTTTTTCATGATATTCTAATTTTATGACCAGCACCTGTAAGTTAACTGATTTCACTATAAAGTCCGCTATATAGTCCTGCTATATATACTGTAATAACCATTCAAAACTTCCCCACTGTCCTTAATGGGTCCTTGGCTGGTCCTCTACAATTCCTTTATAAACATCAATATTTATACTAAAATATACATTCTGTTATGATTTGTGGACATTAAGATCTAAAGAGTAGCGCCATCTGATGGACAGACCCTGTAATACAGTGAAAGGGTGGAGTCAGAGTAAAAACATATGCAAGAGGGGGTCACTGCAGTGGCTACAAGTTGGAGGGGATTTTGCTTTTTTCTTTAAATGGCCATTTTGAATGGCTGCTACTGTGGTGATTGAGGAATTTAGGCGTTAGGGCGGACATTCGGACAAAGTCGACGTATTTTTCCTCTTTAGGGTTTGTAGCGTTTTATTTTCCCTGCGCAGTACCCCTGGTAGACTCTAGGTGGCAGTATAGGGCACTACATCACACTGGATGTAGAGTTGAACGCAACACCTTTAAACCCTCTTTGTATCGTCTATTAGTAACACCCATTTCTTTCCAACTTTTTTTTCACAATCTGATGATTGTGGTAATATTTTCGTTCACCAATCCTCAGCATGATATTGTGAGCACAACTATTTGCATAGTTTCAAACTTTCCTAGGTGTTCTGTAAAAATCCAGGCCGGTGGAAGCTGCATGGATGGGCGCGGACACTAGGGAGGGATTTGAACCAACAACAACACCAGCAGGGATGTAGTTGATCAATTTATCCCTGCTCCAACTGGTGTGATTGTAAAGTTTTAAAAAAATCACACCTGTAACACTCAGTGTATCAAATA